CAGACAGACAGACAGACAGACAGACAGACAGACAGACAGACAGACACAGATACACACAGACACTCACGTATACTTATAGTGTTCGGATAACAGGCCAATGTTTGAAATGTTTTAGCCTGTTTGGAGGAAGTATTGACTTACCCAGGGCCCGTGGGATGTGAACTCGACTCCCTATGTAGCTGACAAGTAGTACACAGAAGATGTAGCTGACCTTATTTGCAGACATAATAAGTCCCGTTTGTTTGGAACTGAACCCAAACTGACGCTCAAGTGTTGTGATCTGTGGAAAGTAACCAAAACAAACAAAATCAAAAAACAAAAAATAAACCAAAAAAATTTTGTTTGTAAGTTTTCAAAGTGCTCAAAAGGTTATGCAACAGCAAAACAATAAGAGTAATACAGCAGAAACAGTGACAGCAGCAGTAGAGGAATATGAATCATTATTTCACTGATGAAGTCAGCTTTTGACCACTGGCCAGACTAAGGCGTTATAATATATAGAAATACGCCTCCGAACGAAGTGTAATGATAAAGGCTCTTCATCGCAGCACACAGAAGAAGTGAGTTCATTTCTCCAATGGGGTAGATGTTTTTTTAGATCGAGCAGCCTACAGATTATGTCCGTCTGTCTGCTGAGATGAGGCATCGCACTCAATTGGAGTTTTGAGTAAAGAAAAACACATTGACACAATGTAAAGTACATTTTAATACCTGTGATCCAATAAATGAGGAGATGCATGACGTCATAGTGTAAGCCGCACCATTGAACGCTGTGAAGGCACCAATTGTAGCGCAAGATTGAACAACCCGTGGTCTCATCCAGCCAATCCCGCAGGCCGTGTCAGGGTCAGCAAGGGTCTCGTGGATCTTATGCACGACAGCCTCGACAGATACGTTTGTCTGCTGCTGCATTCCATTTTCCACGTCTGTGGGCACTTCATCATACAGTAGCTTGGGAGATTCGCCGTCCTTCATGACCCCAGAGTGAAAAAAAATGGAACCCACTTTGTTTGAACAGCTATACTCTAAATCCTAAGTATGCAAGCCAGTTTTAAGCTCTTGAACAAACTTCATTCTCTTTGAATTTATTCATACATCATCCGTCTACCCTTTTTGTTACAAATAAGTTAGAAAGTTAAACTGAACTCTAACAGGTTCTGTACTCTTGGATTTTCACAGTAGCATTATTACGTAAGTCAAGCCAGTCGTTAATGTAGCAGTGATTACAATTCCCAGTGTTGCTTTGCTTCTTATAATACAGATGTAGGCCCGTGTATCTCTTCGGCTCACAATGTGTTATATCTGCGCCATCTGCTGATCAAAGAAGATGCATCATTTCAATCAATAAGGGAGTTTTGGTGTTTTGCGCGCAAGAATTTTGAACTTGCTATGCAAAAACAAAAGAAGGAGTTCGATTCTAAGCTCTGTCTGGCAGATTGGACAGAGAACTGCGAGAGACATTCATGTAGGCATACTGATAAATGTGGCGTCGGTGGCCTAGTGGTTAGGCTACCGGACTCATAATCGTGAGGTTGCGGGGTCGGGGGCTCGAGCCGCGGGCCGACGTTATGTCTCTGAGAAAGGCACTTTACACGAATTTTCCTCACTTCACCCAGGTGGAAATGGGTATCCGGCCATAGACAGCGAAAGATCTTGTCAGTACGTTAGTGTTTTAGCGCCTATAAACGGCTGCTTGCACTGTATGCTTCCCAGGAAGTTGAGGTTGTTTCAGAATGCTCTCAGGTCTGCTGGGGTAATAGTATAAATTGTGAAGCGCATAGAGCTTGCTGTTGGGCGGGGATTTGCGCTATACAAAAGCTATCTGTTATTATTGAATATGTTACTGATAAGGATACGCTCATTACAAACTGCAACGCTGCACGTACATCAGCCGAACGGATCGTAATGGAAAACTGGAATAAGGAGGGCTAACCAAAGGAGTTAGTGGGAGGATACGTAGACTTCTCATTGCTCGGGAATACACGATTTTAGATTTGTATACGTGTATGTTGAACATTACAAAGTGGACAGGAAAGACGATGGATGAAAATCTGAGGAAAGCAGGGGACAAAAATAGATGGCGAGAGCTGGTTTTCAGATGCAATGATGCCCCCACGGTTGCCCCAACCACGGGATAGAAGAAGAAGAAGAGAAGATGTTGAACTGCTTAGATAAGGGCTTGATTTAAATAGGTGAGAGATGAGTGGGTGGAGTTCAGCAGAGGTGAGGTGCTTGCGTACAGAAGATTTTAAAATCTGAACCCACAAGTTAAATATTGAGGCCGGCAAGAAAAGCATTATAAATAAAGCCTATCAATTAGTTTGAAGTCGATGGTTGGATGGCAATAAGTTCTCATTGCCTTCCTCGTACATGTGGCAAGGCAAAAACAAAAGCATGAAGGGAAGAGTAAAGATAAAAACAGATAACTCATCAGCAGTGCTCTTGAAAACAAAAGTTATCACTTTCAACTTTTGAACTTGACGATGTTGTAAAGGAATGGAAAATAATTCTAGCCAACAGATGTGCAAGGGTTACATGATCTGAGCCATGTCAAAAGGGAAAGAAAGAAAAGAGAGAGAGAGAGAGAGAGAGAGAGAGAGAGAGAGAGAGAGAGAGAGAGAGAGAGAGAGATT